GATGAGGAAATCTCGATATTTTATCCGTTTTTCCTCCTCTTTTCGGACGATATTTATCTCGCCAGGAGCTGAAAACTCCACTGCTCCACTGCTCCGGTGTTCAAGGAAGAATACATCGGTCTTATTAGCTTGTATAAGCCTAAGGATGGGACAAGAATAGTTCCAAAAAATTCAATAGTTCTCGTTACCCACAACGGATTCAATATCCGTCGGAGCGTAGGGCAACACCGTTGTCTCGTCAATACCGTAAGAGTGTCGTAGATGGTAATATAGCACTCTGAGAGCCGCGTTAAATCAATGGATATAGACCAAAACCGGATATGCTGGACATGCTGATAGCAACTGGGTCTCGGGCGCCTCGCGGCAGGCCCTGCACCTTGTGTCAGGAACCTCTATACCCATCACGCGACTGCGGTAGACTAAGGTGTTGAAGACACCATCCTGGCAAGCCATGATGAACCCCTCAGTTTCCGACTTCAGTCCACTCGACCTGAGAAAAGCGAAAGTCAGGCGCTTTGATGAGCCAAGGTCTCCAATGTTATTGAAGAAGACCCCATGCATTGGCTTATCCTTGTGTTTCCGCAGAAGTGAGGTGATCTGTGCGGCTTTTATATGAGCTTTTTGCTGAGCGCGTTTCAACTCGATGACAGTGTTGTGATCACCTCGTTTAGTGTCAAAAACTAAACCGAGTTCATCAGCTGCTCGAGCAGTTGCCCTAAAGAGAAATGCCCCAATCATTGATCTCTTATGGTTGCGGACCATGCAGAGAAGAGGATACGAACTCCTAATGACTTTACAGGCTAAATCCAGTAGCATTCTGTCATGTAGACACTCGAAACTCAGAAGTCCACGGCCTCCCTATTGTCGGGGGAAGTACAACCGAGGAACGGACGATTTGGGATGCAAACTCCTAGAGAGATGCATCATTTGCATGCAGAAATGCATCTTTACGTCGAGCTGATAGAACTCCTTCCAAGTCCACTAATCCAAACGAGTAAAGTAATATTGGAATGGCAAGAATATTTGCTGCAGCAACTTTGTTGTTCTCCGACAGTTCCGATGACCAAATCTGTCAAAGTTTGTGCTGATACTTGCCGCGGAGAGAGTTATTCGTTGCTGTTACCTCTTGTGAGTGGCGTCGTTCCACCACTAGGTGAGAATACGTCTCTCCAGCATCCAAACAATATAAGATGCTTCCATCTACGAGCTCCACAACCTCTCCTTAGTTCCTGCATCGTACTCTTTTGAGAAGTTTAAGATCATCCATATAAAACAAATGGGTGACCTTGTGCCTCCGCTTTCTTGGGGTGCCACAGTATTCCTGAGCGAGTATTTCTGAGCGCAACGGATAATGGCAATAGTGAGATTCAGAAGAGAAGATGCAGATGCAGAAGAGAATAATAATTATTATTATTGTCCAATAATAATTTGAAAATTATTTTTTCACAGGCTGTTACATACCTGCACGAGAATAAAGTCATCCATAGGGATATAAAGGGTAGTAATATTCTGCTAACAAGGGAAGGAGAAGTGAAATTGTGTGATTTTGGATTATCAAAGAAAAGGAAAAGCCACGATGAAAAACTATCCGCGAGTTTAGGGTCGCCTAGTTGGATGGCACCTGAAGTGATAAATGCTAGCAAAGTAACAAACGAGGCTGGAGATGGATATGACAGCAGGGTGAGTGTCACAATCAACTTACAATCTATCAAAAATACTTCGAAGAGGCGAATTGTTCCGTTTAGATTATGACAGTAAAATGTCAGAATAACACAGATTTTCTCAAATGAAACAACAGTTTTTATGAAAGTATGTATGCAGTCTTTGTTTAATGGAAATCTAAATTGAAAAACACAACAAAATATCACTGTTTCAGAAGCATAACCCAACTTCAAAAATTTTATAAGTAAACAACCTTTCCTATCACTCAAGCTCTAAGAAGTAAAATATTATCAGTATCTGGGAGTCTCCAAAGAGTTTGAACAAAGATTATAGCAGAATTCTTCTTGATACAGACATTACTTTTTCTAGCAGGCATTTTCGTGTTGAATTTATAAGCAGATCATAAATGTTATTCTCATAATATCACACTTCAAATTCAGTTCTTATGTGATTGTTTAATTTGTTTCAAATACATAACATTCATTCGTCCCCTTTAATTACTTTGAACACTTTTACTTTTCACAGGCCGACGTTTGGTCAATCGGAATAACAGCCATCGAGCTTGGAGACGGCAAAGCTCCTTTCGAAGAGATGCATCCTACAAGAGCTTTGTTTCAAATAGTGACCAATCCCCCTCCTACGCTGAAGAAAGTATCGAATTGGTCTGAAAATTATCACGATTTCATCAGCGAGTAAGTTTTTGATAAGTCATACTATCTAGTTATTGAGAGTGATGCTTGAGATAATCAAAATTATGCTTCATAATTTTTCATTAAAAAATGAAAGAAAACAATTTTTATTACCAAATATGGAAGTCATTTCGATCAGTTGTCTTTCATCTGAATTCGCGTATAGAGTAACTAATCAAAATTGAAAAGCACATTTTCATGGAGATCCCGAAGCACTAGAGAAAAACCTTTAAACGCTGCGGATGCATCGCCTGTGTTACAGTGATGATTGATTTGAAGAATGGCAGGAGCTAATTTTATGGAAAAAAATTATAAAAACATCAGACAAGGAAATCAAGTCTTTCTGAGATACTTGTAATGCACTGTTTGGAACCTTTGGTGTAGTGATGAATATTACTGGAGTTTTTTTCAAACACCAAACCGTTTCGATCACGATTTGGTGATCGAATATAAGATACAAGATGTTGATTTTTTCTAAACTATTCTCTATTTGTTTGAAGGTGGTTGACAATGTTTTGTGGTGTATTTCAAGTTCGGACTTCCATTGTCTAATACAATATAAATTGATTTGAAATCCCAGAATTTCTGGTTCAGATACTGTCCCGTGTGAGTGGGTTTTTTGATATACAGATGTTTTTTACTCACCTGAGACAGTATCTGAACCAAAAATCCAACCACCATCAATCGACTAAGAGAGGAATCATCAAGACTCTACTAGACCGTGCTTTCTTGCTCTGTAATACAAAGGAAGGTCTCGAAAAGGAACAAGGCATCATCAAAAATGACCTTCAATGGAATGGTTACTCCAGAGTGATGGTAGAACAGCTTTAGCTAGGCCACCAAACGCGGAGTGGCCTTTGAAAGTTCTCATTGCTGAGCACAAGAAACACAAACAGCGAGGAGAAACCAGCAAATCCGGAATAGCAGAGCATGTTTGGACTCCTCAACATAACATCAAGTGGACTCAAGCTGAAATCATCCACAAGGAGGAACACTGGTTTAGGAGAAAATTCAAAGAAACCGCGTATATGTTGTCCAACAACGCATTTAGCCAAGCTAGCGTAGAGATACGTAACATATGGAAACCTTTCATCAAGCGGAAAACGACCAACTCCCAACAAATGGTCATCTCCCGCTAAAACCAATGAAGCGGACCTTTAAATAGTCGAATTTCGGAGGAATGAGTCCAGTTATCACCCGAAGACGATTGTGGATACTAGCAATCGAAACGTCGTGACGTAACTTGGTTTGGAGGAATTTTCATTTCTTGTTTATAATAATTTTTCTTCATTTTCAGCTCGTATTAATACTTAATTTTTTTCATTTTTTGGTTGTTGCTTGTATGTAATTCCTTTGTAATTTCAGTTTTTTGTTTATTAAAATTGTTATTTTTCGGATATTCTTTTTAATTTTTTTAGAGATTCTTTCTGGGATTTAAAATCAATTTATATTATATTAGACAATGGAAGTCCGAACTGATGAAATATTCTCTATTTGTATCAATATTAGAAATATCCCTTATGAATTTGGCAATATTATCATCACTGACAACAGATTCATTGAGCCTTAATTAGATAGCAATTATTGAGTCCAGTGGTGGCTCGCGACAAAGTTTAGCAAACATTAGCAACATCAAAAGGTACCTTAACTCCACTGATGTTTCTTGTAATATTTCATTTTATTTTGGGTCAAACATATCACTTGATTCGTTTTCGAACTCCCTTTTTGTTTTTCAAAGAAAATAAAAGCGGAAAGCCGATAAAAACAACTAGTTAGCTTGATTTGCATCAAACAAGCAATAACTAGCACTGAAAAAGTGAAAATGTATATTCACAAAATTGATTTTTTCTTTTAGAAAAGTTCAACATCCAGACTCCGCAATTTCAAGTCGTTTTCTTCGTCTCTCAATTGAGAGACTTATTTGCATTTAAATTGAGATTATGTGCAGCAGATATATCTATATAATGAGCTCTGAAGGTCCACATCAACTTTTTCTACTGAAGTTTGCCAGCTATCAGGAAAAGAAGAATACAACTGGGCATCATCAACATATTGGTGTATAGAGAAAGTGGTTATAACTTTATAAAAGTCTGAAATGCAGAGCGAAAATAATAGAGGTCCAAGAATCGAGCCTTGAAGAACTACATGAGTTACAGGCAAGGTATCTGAGTATTGACCATCTAAACATATGGTTTGGGTACAACAGCTGTGGTATCTTCTCAATAGTTGCACAGCTCCATCACTAAATCCAAAATACACTAGCTTATTACACAGAATATGATGATATAGGGTATCAAATGTTTTACTGTAATCCAAGAGTACCAGTGATGATAGGTTACTTTTATCAGTGCCCAGGAATAAATCCTAGGTGATGTTAATGAGTGCTGTGGTAGTATTGTGACATATTCGGAAACCTGATTAGACTTCAGTCGTGATATAGAATTCGTTTACAAACGATCCTTCACTGTTGATTCAGTTTAGAATTCAACTCTGAGTTTCTCGTCAATCGTATTTCCAACTTTCAGTATTTTAACAGCACATTCAAATAAACAAATAACTTTCTATTTCGTCATTACCTTCCTTATCGTCCTCGTCATTTTTTGTCTGATATTGAGCCAATTCTACTGCTGGACATTTCGAGTGGAGGATTTAGGAGCAATTGTAATATTATCTATCTTATAACTCTAAACTAAAACACATTAAAGCAAGATAATCTTAATGAAAAATGGAAGAGATACAAATTAAGTATCAGAAGGAACTAGAGATTAAGTCCTTAGCTACCAGTTCCTGTTAACAGAAATGTGGCATACAAATAGAGTAATAAATTTCATGAAACAGAAGCCTGTCAATCTCCATTATTGTCAACCGTCATGATTGAAGGCTCATTCTGAATTGCACCCTCTCATATTCATTCAGCTTTAACGCACAGTAATCACAGTAAGTTGAAAAAATAGTGGAATAATTTGAGCTCCTTGTATGGAATTTTTCAATCACTTTCGTCTGACCATACCATTATATACATCATATTCTTTTTGTGTTTCCATTACGTGATAAAGACTAGTTCAACTAAGCCTAGGTCTATCAAATGACAACACAATATATTTCATGACATATTCCTCCAATATGATTATCTGAATATTTGTGATTCAGAAATAACTGAACACTCCAATAAAAAAAATGTAGGTTCGATAATGTCTATAATTCATATTCTAATTTTCTAAGACTTTTCCTTTCTATTGCAGATGTTTGGTGAAGAATTATGATTATCGACCCTACGTTATGGAAATTATAGAACATCCTTTTCTGGAACAAATTCCTGAAAATAATTATCACGTAAGTATTATTGATCTTCAAATAACTATTTGACTCTCTTATTGGTGAAATGAACTGACTTTTTTATTTTCCTTTTTTTCACAATTTTGATTTCACCATATTCAACGACAGTATACGGATATTTTCGGAATTGTGCAACGATCATGATGTAATCTCAGATTGGGCTAGAGAGAACATATAGTTGTTTCTTGGTACTATTCAGTTCATATTTGGAATATATTGATGATTCAGAATTTCCATTGATTGTCGTTTTTCAATATGATGAAATGAAGCATCTGCCTGTATGTAGTTTTTTTATCAAACGCTTCCTGAATCTGAACAGTAAACGATATATCAGATTAGTTCATTAAACGCTTACTATCTTTGAATTTGAATAAAACAAAGTGTGAGAGACGCGAAATCAACTGCCTCGGATTCTCCTGCACACTCTCACATACAGCGGTGACATTTTCGGCAGATCTTGCGTTTCTTCAACGTAGGGGTTATTGGTCGATTCGTTTACTGAACCACTGGACTCAAATTTATCCACCACATTGCGACTAATTCTCTCGCTAGGAAGATTATGGCGACCGTAAAATGGGCGAAGCGCCCGTTTCTTTGCCCGAACAGAACACCCATTTTGTTGTTTGTTGTTTAATGTAATATCCGTCCATGGTAATTTGGCAAAAACGGACTGAATAAATGAGAACCACTTTGACAGATATACTTCATCAAGATTGCCGTTATCAATTGTCAAAGTTCGGAATTTCCTGGTGGAAGATCCTAAAGTAGGCATACATGTTCGATTAGAGACATGGGAACAAAATCTTAATCAACTATTATGTGATTTTTCTTTTTGTTTATCAACAAATATCATTGAGACGTGATCAGTCACTTCAATACCTTACCCAAAGATGAGACTCAAATAACTTGCATGTTCACGAATAATTTTATCACCAAAATCCAAAATATTTCGAAATTATAACCCGTAAACATTCATTAATAATATATGCAATTAATAAAATCCCACAGAAACATAGTTTTTTCTTGACAAGAGCAGAATCAAATAAAACTTTCAACTTCATCCACCTCTACCCTTACTTCAATCCATGTCTTGAAGAATTTTATTTTCATTTCATCATTGCTTGTTTCAGCTGTCTCTCGAAATGAAGTCACTGGTATCTGACATGGGTAAAACGTATCCATCCGAAAGAAACCCAGAAATGAACGTTCATGGAAAATTACTGAAAAAAGGTATAGATTTTGATATGGTACCCATGTACGAAGAAGATTTGGCAGCACTGGACAATATAAACGAACGGGACATATTGGATCTACTGCAAAGGCGTTTCGAGATGGGACAGTGTTACTCATTCATTGGTGATATTCTGTTGTCACTGAATCCCAATGAGAAAATCAATATGTTCGGGAGGGAGGTATGTATTTATAGAAATCAGCAATTGAGTTGCAACAGACACATCAAGACTTTTGCTGAAGTTCTCCCTTTTCATCAAAACACAATAGTTAGTGAAAATGTATGTTAGAAAATCAACCAAATTGACCAAATTAAATTTTCTTTGGCATAATTTCTTAATCATGAAAGAAGCCAAATATGGAAATCGATATATGATATTTGAAAATATGTTTTCATAGTCATCTTAAAATTTTAGACGAAACTCGAACACATGATGGAAGCTTGAAGGGTCACATACTGTATATTTAATTATTATTTCCTCGAAAGAATTTTGTAATAACAAAATGGTCTGAACTCTTAGTGCTTTTATATAAACTGAAAAAACGTGTTTTCAATGAAAAGCGCCAGAACAGTTATTGAAATTATTTATATTCGTGCATCAAATCACCAAATAGAAAATTTTTTAATTCAGAGAAAACTCAATGACCCATTATATCAGTATTTCAGTGTACATTAACTAACAACAACATATGCAGGAAATACTTTTGTGAAAATAGAGTTCTAGAGAATGATATCGATAAAGAATGTGAAAACGTAGATAAGGGTGACTCTTTATTGGTGGTAAGGTTTCTAGAAATGAACATATTGAATGATATGAAAAATTTCACAAAAAGTAAACATTGTACATATCTCATTAACTACCTTCCAAAATGTAAATCATGACAAAAGGGAGATATCAAAATCATAATTCGACATTTTGGCGAACTCGCCAGTGTTTATTGTTCAACTAAATGTCTTCTCTTTCGATATCATCTAACAAAATATTCGACTTGATTCACTCTTCGAAATCATTTCAATTCAGTTGTGATTAAATTTTACCTGAGACAACTGGAAAAAATCACATGATATACGGCATTTTTCAGGTTGAGTTTCTGTAAACTGGCGGAGGTGTTGATGTACAATGTCTAAATGGGCTCATTCAGGCTAATTTAGTTTTTTATCAAAAATTATATATTATACAAGTGAATCATCTCCCAAATATCCCACAAAATTTTCCGGTTTATATGTCAATTAACAACTGAGCAAGAGCAATTGAAAATGTGAGATCGCCCCCGGTACATCTTGACGTCACACCAGGCAAACGAGCTTCGAGCGGTGGCATTCGGGCCTGTCGTTGGAGATTATGAGTCGCTGCTATCGACAATTCAATTTAATTTTCTTTAAAGTAATGTATATATCAATTATGGGTAACTGGCATAATTTCGGAATTTTTCTATGATGTAAATAGATCTTCGCTCAATATTGTTTTTCTAATCCCAGTTTTCAACTGATATTCCGAACAAAGTAGAATCTGATGATGTATCAACAGAAGTCATGTCTGATGTGCTCAAAACTCTCACTGTTCTCGAGGGAACTTAGCGGTAATTTTTTCCAATACTTTCTGTATTTTCTAGTTATTTAGAACGATTTCTTTTTCAGTAGTAAATAATACACACATCGGAAAAGTAATTTTTTCCAATACTTTCTGTATTTTCTAGTTCTTTAGAACGATTTCTTTTGCGGTGGCAAATAATATTTACGGTCTGTGTAGCTTTTGATCTTCGAAAAACCTGTTTATTGACTTGAATTCCAACATCAAAGGTATTTTCCTGTGAACCTGCCTAATCAGACATGATTTGATATTCAGAGATATCTTCGTTACGAAGTATTCAACAAAATTTGTTTTTCCTTTTTTATGAACAAACGGTGTGGAGCTTTAGATGTATGCATTGGTCTATCAATCTGGCAATCAAATATATGCGGAATTACGCCTGGTTACAATATAATTTTTCCCACTTTCATAGTTTTGATATACATGTAATTTTCTGAGTCTGTTTCAACCTAAACTTCAAAGTATTGCTCAGAGTAAACTATAATATTTTTTAATAATCATTATCATTCATACTTACATTAAAATGATCTTCGCAACAAAAATGCGTCCCCTTGGCAGATACAAAGTTGCCCCCCCCGCATAGCGCGCTTTCATAACTTTCTTAACAGTGAAATAAAAATTTTGTCTGGTGCAGTTACCGAAGAATTCTTGCATTTAGGAACGATGCAATATTTGTAACGTAATTTTATGCAGTTGACACACTGCAGTAAACAACACACAACTTGCTTTCTAGGGCTAAAAGCACATGTATTTCGCTTATTCGCCAGCACTCCTTTGTCGCCGAGTCGACTGATATGACGTCAAGCTTGATCACGCCCCGTTTCGGTGAACGCTACATTCAACAATTAATTTGAGGGGGAAGATGAAGAGTGAAAATTCATATTTTTTGCAGATGTACTATTTGAAACAAACTTTCAAATTATGAAATAAAAAAAATGTTAAATGAGCCCATTATTTCATATATCTTAGTTGGATATATAAACTTGCTTCTTAATTTTCGATATTTTTCTTTAATACCAGACCTTCAAAATGAAATGATAAAAATGTCTTCTGATCGAGTAATACTGTTAAAAATGATTGTGAAAAACATGGATATATACTGTAATTTTCGCAATATTTATAGGGTAACTTAAATTTTACACAATAAAAAACGTGATAATGGAATTCGCAGAATATCATATGTGAACCAAAGATTTGAGTAAAAATACGTTGTGGAATCACAGAAGATTCCATGTGAAGTTCAAATTACGTGATATGTTTTGTGAAATCCCCTCCAAGACACGTGGTACATCAGTGACCTTCCATTTTCATAACGCCGCGCTGACTTGAATCCCTTTGTTTGAAGCCAAGTACGTATCTAAATCAGTTGAAAAATATAGGTCAAAGCATGCGTTGTAAAAAAAGTGTGGTGATTGGGAATGCAGGTAAACAAAGTTAAGTATTCTATATAATCATACAGATGTATTCATGTATGCTGTGTTCTTTTAAGTGCATATCGATTAGAACATATGATTTACATCAATATTTTCACAGGAATTGGAATGAGGTAGCATTTGTATGTCTTCATTCTAACTGTGGAATTTCAATAAAATCCTATGAAGGATTCAAACAACATGTATTCAGATTTCACTCCAGTCAAGACGAATCAAGAGATAAAACATTTCGGATTTTTTGTAGTGAAAATAATACTATTTGAAATATAAACTTTCAAATTATGAAATTAAAAAAATTTGTTAAATGAGCCCATTATTTCATATATCCCAGTTGGTTATGTGAACTTGCTTCTTAATTTTCGATATTTTTCTTCAATACACAGACCCTCAAAATGAAATAATAAAAATGTCTTCTGATCGAGTAAGGCTGCAGTAAAATACTCATCATATTAAAAATGACAAACGGTATTGGAAATCACTTTTATATATAAACCAATCATGGAGATGAAATATACTTATTTGATTTTTCCAATATACTCATAAACGTAGTCAATCGACTCATGTTTACGCCACTTCAATAACTTTACTCTGCTCGATTCTAGATTCAAAGATGAATTCAATCAGAAAATAATCGATACATGAAATATCATTAATGATATTCAAGTGAATTCAGATTATTTTAATCAAATATTCATTCAACGATACTCGTTTGTGTGTTTTGAATCAATATCTGAGATCCAATGACTAAGAGACGTTGACTATTAGTCATTAGAGCTTATGTTGAATTTTTTGTTACGAAAAGTTAGGCTCTAAATATTCGCGAATGATTTTTTTAGCTTCAATGAGTTTATTATTGTTCTTCTTCAAACCATTTTTTAAATCAGAATTCAAATTTATTATAACTTCATCATTTTCAGTTTCATTCGAAATACCACTCGAAATCAAGATCCGATAATGCCCCCCACATCTACCAAATAGCAGATACAGCATATCAAAATGCTCAGCATCATATGACGCCCCAACAAATTGTTCTTTCCGGAGAAACCGGGTCAGGAAAAACATCTAATTATCTTCATTTGATCGACCATCTGTTTTTCTTGGGTGAGAACTCCAGCATTGGTTCTGAGAGAATGAAGAACGCTTTGAAACTAGCCCATTCTCTCATTCACGCGTCAACCCCTTTCAACCCCTACTCAACAAGGGCTGTTTTCAAGACAGACGTTTCGTATGGAAAGACAGGAAAACTCACATGTGTCAATTTCAAGGCGCATTGTTTAGAAAAGTGTAGGGTATCCAGCAAAGATTTGTAAGTATTATTTGTTTTATTTTCAATCATTACAATACAGGATGTGACAGAAGTACGTTGAAATATTCAAGTGACGCATTCCTGAGACAATTTCAAGAAAAAAAGTCTATATAAACTTATGTCCGAAAATGCTTCGTTTCGGAGATACGGGGTGTTGAAATTAAATTTTTTTATTCGCTTTTTAAAAATAACTCTTGCAAAAAATAAGTTATTTGCACGAAATTTGGTAACCGGGTTTTTTTGACGTGAGAAATCATAATTTCGTATAAATTTCCATGTAACATCTAGAGGGCGCTGCGTACGCTGTCATTATGTATTTCAAATTGCCACAACTTTTTTGACAGTGAACTTTTGGTACTTTTCATGAAAAAACCTAATTTTCACACCTTTTCCAAGTAAAAAAGATACACATCCTCAACAACGCTGGAGGTGATCATTTTCGAGATATTTACAATTTTCTATATCGATGCATATTACTTTATAGCCAAATTCGATTTCAATAATTTTTGTCACTCTCCGCTTGCAAATTGAGTTTATTAAATTGAGTAGGCTATGAAAGTTTGTTTATAAAAATAGAAGTTCGCTGTCACATTTTCAACTATTAATTGACAAATTCACAGTTCGGAGTGCATAACGTGATTTTTTGGTACCATGCCCGACTTCACAAATGCTGAAATGGCTGATATGGTTTTTTCATACGGCTTGGCTGACAAAAATTCAAGCGAGGCCAGACGCATCTATCAGGAAAGGTATACCCATCGCGTGACTCCTTGTGCAGCGACATTTGCGAATCTTTTCCGGCGACTTTCCAAATTTGGAAGCTTTGAAACAAATTCTGCAGTAGGACGGCCACGGACTACAAGAACTGTAGAACTGGAGGAGGCCATTCTCAAAGAAATTAGTGAACATCCAGAGACAAGTACAAGAAAAATTAGTCAAACTTCAAATGTGAATCACATGACAGTTCACAGAATTTTAAAGAAACAGCAATTAGATCCTTATCATATTCAGCGTGTCCAGGTACTTACGCTACGTGATTTCCAACCACGTATCGAATTTGCTCAATGGCTTCAAAGAAAAGTCGAACAACATCCGCAAATTTTATCGAAAGTCTTCTTCACAGATGAGGCTAATTTTTCAAGAAATGGTATCATGAACTTCCATAACAACCACAGCAAGGCGGAAGATAACCCACATGCGATAACGCAAACTCGTTTCCAAGACAGATTCTCTTTTAATGTATGAGTAGGCATAATTGGGGATAATTAAATTTGGCCCTATTTTCTCTCCTTACGTTCGAATGGAGATGCTTACCTACATTTTTTGGAACACGAGCTTTCCCAACTTATGGAAGATGTTCCCATTGGTCTCCGAAATCACTCTTGTTTTATGCACGATGGAGCTCCTGCTCATTTCAGTGTGATAGCAAGAAATTTTCTAGACGTAGCATATCCCCAAAGATGGATAGGAAGAGGAGGCACTGAACATGCCCCCGAGGTCACCAGACCTCAATTCCGTCGATTTTTTTTGGGGACACCAAAAATCACTAGTTTATGCTAGCCCCCTTAAAAACGAGGAAATGTTGAAGGATCGCATCATAGCTTGCTGCGAAACGATAAGAAATACTCCGGGAATTTTTCAACGGGTGCGGAATTCTTAACGGAATTACCTAACAGTAATACAAGCAGAAGCTTGTATTACTGTTAGGTGTCGTCACTTTGAACAGTTGTTGTAATAGTTGTTTCGTTCAATTTTTATATACTCATTTTCCTAATAAATAACATAGTACTTCTCCGAATTGTTTTTTTTTTTGCAAACCTCGAAATGTAGCACTTTCTAATCGAATAATTAAACCTGACAAAATTTTTTAATTTGGATTGAATAAGCAGTTCGATAATGGTCAGTTTAGAAGAAGTCTGTACGGGTATATTGCGTATAAAGTTTGATGAAAATAACTAAAATTCCAAAAAACTTATGACAAAAACCTGCCATGTTTTGGAAATTTTCAACAATCTGCATTTCTTCACTTCACTTAGCGCCCTAGGAGCTAAGTAATATGCATCGATATAGAAAATTGTAAATATCTCGAAAACGATTACCTCCAGCGTTGTTAAGGAGGTGTATCTTTTTTACTTGGAAAAGATGTGGAAATTAGGTTTTTTCATGAAAAGTACCAAAAGTTCACTGTCAAAAAAGTTTGGGTAATTTGAAATAAATAATGAGAGCGTACGCAGCGCCCTCTAGATGTCACATGAAAATCAATACGAAATTATGATTTCTCACGTCAAAAAAACCCCGGTTACCGAATTTCGTTCAAATAACTTGTTTTTTGCAAGAGTTATTTTCAGAAAGCGAACAAAAAAATTCAATTTCAACACCCCGTATCTCCGAAATGAAGCTTTTTCAGACACAAGTTCATATAGACTTTTTTCTTAAAATTGTCTCTTGAATACGTCACTTGAATATTTCAACGTACTTATGTTACACCCTGTTTATACCGATTATTAAAACTATATCCACCCTCTTTTAATTTATTGTTACAATTTGATAATTCTTTTTCATTTTTATATGTAACATACTAATATACTTATAAACTTGGTTCCACATTCAGCGGGAGCTAGAGTCCTGAACTGATAAAATAGAAAAAATTCAATGCCAGATGATGAAATATATTATTCATTTGTTGAAACTTTCGAAACCTTCGAATTCATTAAAATATATCCGATATGCAAAATTTTGTTACAGGAATCAGGGAAACTTCCACATATTTTATTACCTCTATGACGGAATTGTAGCAGCTGGAAAACACAAAAGATTCAAACTGAACTCCAAGAGAGCGTATCGTTACCTAAGAGTTTCCGATAACTCAAAAGATAAAAATCCCAAAGAAGAGATCGATATCAATGTTTACAAATATTCTAAAATCGCCACTTACCTCAATGATCTGGAATTCACGGAAGAACAAATCTCCACGATTCACTCAACTATTGCAGCCATCCTCATTATCGGAGAGGCAGAGTTTGCAGAAAATGAAGATCTGTCGGCAGTGTTGGTGAATAGAGAGGTTGTTGACGATTTTGCGGACTTGGTGAAAATCGAAAACAAGAAAATTCGTTGGGCTTTAACCAACTACTGTTTGTTGAAAGATGGTGACGCCATACGAAGAAGAAACTCCTGCAGGGAAGCCTGTGAAGCCAGAGATGTTCTCGCGAATACACTTTATGCTAGACTAGTGGATTATGTTTTAGAAACTATCAACGATAAAATGTCGTTTGGAAAGGCAATATTGTGAGTAAATTTTTCAGTAGATTTACACCGATATTTCGATTTTTGATGAAATGAAGCTAGAAAACGATGGAAAACTAACTTTTTTGAGAAAGTGTACTCGAAGATTTGACTAAATGTTTTGGTTATCAATAACTTCCATATTCCAATAATGGAAAACTGAAAACAAATATTATTTCAATCTAAAAGAAGTTGAATGGTCAGCTGACTGGTGATGACGGCCTATTGATGACATTGCGTGTATATTGAATGAACATTTCGAAACATATCAAGTTCTGATAACTCGATAAACCTGCCATTCGAACGAAATCATCTGTATAAAATCTGTTTAAAATCTGTTTTTTCGTTAATCATTCATAAAGACAAAAAACACATCAGGATTCATACACAGTTCCATCTGTCTATTGTTTTACTCGAAATATTAATTTCTTCATCTTTTGGTCGGATCAAATGAAGTTGCTTTTTAAATTTAAAGTTCTAGGAGATATCTAAACTGCGGAAAAATAAAATACTCATAGCTGATACCACGAAGAGCGTTGAATTATATACGACAGGTGTAAGTGCAAGATTCTTCACTGAAGTTCTGTATCCCTATCTGTAGAGTAGGGAGAGTGAGTATAGGCCCACAGCACTTAGGCAATATGTGATCCATTGTACATCCTCTCGAGGAGTCGTCCTCCTAGGTCATCGTCCATCCTGCCCTTTCCAGGAAGGTGGACAGGTCACTGGGAGACATCTCTTTTATATCGGCAGGTGTAGGCCAAGACTCGCCGAACACACACTCTCTCATTGACGATAACTCCGGACACTCACATAGGAACCACGCTGGTATTTTTCCCATTTCCCACTTAATTCTTAGGCTTAGTGATCTGGAGTACACTCCACATTTCGAGCCTTCTTTAGTTTTTGCGTCTGATTCTGTGTTCAGTTTTATTTGTATTTTGTAGGGTTTATTAAACACAAACCTGGGTTCAATTGCATCACTGGCTGCCTGCAGCAGAGGTTGCGCGGTAAACACTTCTCGCCATAGGCTCATCCTCAATTGACCAATTTCTACCCTCACACCAGCCGTGCGCAATTGTAATATGGTCATTAACGCGACCATATTACAATTACCATTACAATTACATTACCATATCAATTCCATTATCGCAGTTGGTGTCGTTCTCATGATGTTTTTGGATGACCGTTGCTTGTAGAACTTTCAGTCCATATGCAATGGCTTCGTATGTTAACATAGGTATTATTCTTGCAGTGTAGATCCAGGTGACCTCACGGAGTGAAAGACCTCATGCGCGTCCCACTGTCCTCCGACCTTGTTCATAAGCCACATAAGCTTTTTTGCTCTACTCTGTAGGTGAGATTTCTATGTTAGCTTCCTGCCGAGAATAGTACCAAGGTATTTCACCTCTTCAGAAAAGTTTAGTTTGTTTTTGGAGATTTCGGGAGGTTTTGAGCCAGATAAACTTTTTTTTCTGGTAAATCTTTCGAATTTTTACTTCAAATGATTTGATCAAAAGCCAGTCTTCCAGTATGCCCACTTACTATAGGTGAAATTTATTTGTTTATACGAGGATTTGGGCCTATTGGGATATGCGCTTGGTGAGTATCTCGTCAACTGGCGAAAGGGGCGATGACGTATATTTTGTTTGTCGTTCGCTTCAGCTTTGTTCGAAGTATGATAGATACTCTGAAAGGAATTCGATTATCTGAAATCATCGACTTCATGTTGATGATGGACACTAACTTGCAATGACGAGTGGCCAAATAGCCCAAAACCGATCTTCAAGTGAGTTCCAATTCCGGCGGATATAATCCAACGTCCTTCGTGGTATTAGTCCGCGGAGTAGTTGTTTTTTGATAGGTATCAGTCCATAAACTTACCGCATAGCTAAGGAAAGACTAGCCTTAATTATTCTTAAGATAATTTGAACAATCACGATTTCAACATTTCCTACGGCATACTCCATACAAAATATAGTGGACATAAATTGAACCTGCTGGAGTCTCTGGAAATCAATTCGGGCAAATATCTGAACTCCCCATTGAATAACCAACAAGACGTTAACCACTCACCAATGTTAAACCTTCTTTCATCAAGCCAAGAATGATTCATATTCAAAATTTACCTGCTGCCCAAAAATTGGGATTATAAACTGAGAGAGGTAACTGCTACTGTTGTATACATATAAGAAATGTAGACTAGTGTGTGTACTATTACTACCGATGAAGCTACGGTGTTAGCGAAAGTCTTAATTAATAAAATCTAAGACAAATATCGAGGAGAAACTATAAGTGACTTTTTTTGAGTGCACTTTTCAGGATCATAAATTACACATCTAACAACGGAGAAATTCAAACTCTGAAAAGTACAGTAGTAGAAAAACTCATCCACACATTATAGGTCGGAGGAACCAGATAGCATTCATCCAGTAATGCTGCGAAGAAGACAGGCAGTTGAAATTCCTCAGCAAGAGGAAGCCAAAATGAAAACTCACGTTGTAAATAGTAACATGGATGAACTCCCCATAAAATGTTTCACCTTTTTAATTATGTATCACATTAAGTTCTCTTCCCAGTCAACTCCTGAGAGTGACCAAGCGGAGTGTCCCTTCCACATATAACCAGTTATCTTAACTTAACACAATGTTTCGATTTTTCTCACGAAAAATTCTAGATCGAGGAGAAAAATTGACATTTTCGGAATCCAAAGAAGAAAGTGCCTAAATACCTATCAATCAATTCGTTCAGCATGCTTTCAATACTCGTAACAGTTCAGTTAAGGCCATGACTGTTCCACGATGCAGTTCCACGCATAATCAAACATTTTTAACGTATCTTGGACCTAGCTACAATACAAGCTTGCTGAGGTAGCCGTAACTTTCATTAGTTCTTCTAAGACTATATAATATCTATGTTTCATGTATCTATTTCTTTTCTTTTCTCCGTGATTCATATGCGAATGCTATCGACTTCTCACCGGAAGGTTTGTACAGCAGATAATTACAGCTTCTTGTCATGTTTCTTAAAATTTTTCGTAAGTGGAAAGGCGTTTATCCCCGTCTATGAACAGGGGACCAAAGCGAACTTTCATTTGTATCACTTTGTAATTTAAGTTTTGACTTGAAATGAAAATTGAATGTAAAATTGACAACAGTGAAATTCAGTTTTAAAAATTGGTAAATATCAATGTATTA